TATAATATTCCATTATAATGCAATTTGCATGCTTCCAATTTATATAAAGGAATAAAACATATTTCACGGATTTAAGCATATATTTATAAAAAATAATTTGCCCATTTATAGCCTGACTTTCATTATAGTTATAATTGTTTTAAAAAAATATATGTTTTATACAATATTTTAGTTTGGTTTTCAATTTGTGGCTTGGAAGCGTGAAGGGGGGCGGGCGGTTGGGGTAATACTGCGGGGCATTGCTGCTGCGCGCAAAACCAGTTTTCGATTTCCGGTTATGCACATGAAATTGTTTATCTTTTATAGTTGCCGTTGGCCAATTATCAATAATGCTGCAACTGCACCTTGCTACGATTTCTTGAATTCCAACTCGATATTCATCCAAAAAAAATACAAAAATACTTGACAAATAGCTGAGTAGATACACGAATTATACAAAATTATTTCTGAATGGGAAGTTTTAGATAATAAAATTTCTTTAAAAAACATACGATATTGGGCTATGTTCTCAATCCCCTTCATTGTTAATGCCGCCTCATTGTAACCATATCCAATGCCCTATACCTTATCCTATGCTCTATATCTTAAACCCTATACCGTATACCCGATATACTGTAGTCAATATCCTATATCCTATATCGTATATAAATTATCCTATACCTTATACTCTATACCAAATATCCTATATCCCGTATTCTATATCCCATAATCTATATCCTATATTCTATATCCTTTATCCTATATCCTATATCATATATCATATATCCCATATTCTACATCCTATATTCTTTATTCTATATTATATAACTACTTCAGATATCGTATGTCTTATACCCTATATCCCATATTCTATACCCTATATCATATATCCTACATCCCATCCTATGACCAATCCTATATCTTTTAGTCCTTTATCCCATACCCTTCATCCCATATTTATGCAACTATGCCCCTATTTCAAAGCCTTTTGCTTGACATAGATCAAAAGGTTCTGATCGATTCCAGCGCAAGCTAGAACAAATTGAATTGGGAAAAGCTCTCCGCATTCTGCAAGCGATCAATCTTTACAAACAGTATTGGGTTTTGTTTTCTTCATAATTATAATAATTATTATGTTGGGCAATTTGTTAATCTTCATTTTTAGAATGTGTGTGTTGAACAGGTGTTGAGTTTTTCCAATCGAACGTGGGGCCCAATTAGAGCGCACGTTAAATGCGCTACAATTAGCGTGCGCAAATTTTCAAATATCCAACTGGCGAAAATATAAATATTTCTGCGCCAGAGTCGCCAGCGTGTTCCCATTGAATATTTAGCTCTCACTGTATTTTGTTTTAATGCTTTTTTCCACATTTCTGTTCTCTTGCTGTTGTTGTTGTTGCTGTTGTTGTTGCCATGACGAAATAATTTACAAATTGCGCAAAACAGGTTTTTTTCCTTTTCTTTTTTACGAACTGGCCAAAGAATTCACAACAAAAAAAAAAACAACTGAATGCTCAATGAATCTTTTCCAGCGTCCAGAGCGATTCCCCAGACGGTGCTCGGTGCCAAAAAAAAACAAAGCTAAGACTAAAACAAAAAAATGAAAACAAACAAAACAAATGACTCAAATGGCACGCCCAGCAACCAGTTGGACAGTTGTCCGGCCGCCCAGTTGCCCGGCTGATCGGCTGCCCGGCTGCCCAGTTAAGCGCCGGCGATAAGTCGATAAGGCGTGAAAAACGCCCACAGAGCACACAGAGACAATTCCAACTGAGCTCGCGGAGACGGCAGAAAATTGATTAAACATCATGCGAATTTATTATATAAACAATTTGAGTCCGGCAAATGTGGTTTGCACTCGCGCAGAACTTGATTATATTTACGATGTCATATAACCCCTTTACGAATACGAATTTTTGTTAATACCTTCATTTTTTTATATAAGTTTTATTTCCAAGTTCTGTCTCTGTGCAGCGAACCAGTCTGCTAGTCTATCGAAAAGGAGGTTCTTGTGTGGAAAATGGAAAATGGCATTAATAGGTTTTACTATGCTCAGCTCATCTATGGAAAAGCTCATCAATATCGGGAAAGCATATCATATAGCTGCCATATAGAAGAGATCCGTCGAAGTGTAGGTTCTTCCCAGAGACTTTCGTCAGACTCAGCATTTAGGTGCTGCACAAATGCCGGCAAAGAGTATTAGATCTATTGCTACTTTCGCGTTTTTACTTAAGATCTGTCAATTTGGCGCTCGTTAGCCCGAGTTTTGTAATAAATCGAAATACAAGAGTTTGTAATGAGTCACATTTGCAGCATGCCAAAGTTGATTGCAATCGCAGCACAATTGGCCCACTTGCAATGCAGCTGGGATTGGATCAGTTGCGCATCTTTGTGGAATCTGGCCCAACTACCGAATGTGCAGATATATAGAAGAAAAAAAATAGCAGAAGCGAAAGCGAACCCGAATCCGAATCCGAATCTGAATCTGAATCTGAATATGTTGCTGGCAAAGGGTAGAGAAATTGTTGCCAACGGCTATCCACATGCTATGTGCGAGAATTTGAAATCAGAGCCAAAGTTGTTCGTTTTTTTTTCTTCTTTATTTACTTTTTTTTTGTTTTTTTTTTTTTTGTTGATGTTGCAATTTCTGTGCCGTTGAGGCATTAAATTGCATAATTAGCAAGTTCGCCGCGAAGCGCTCTCGAGCCGTGAATAGATAGATATATATAGAGCTGTGTCTGGTTCTGGGTCTGGTTCAGGGTCTGGGTCTGGGTCTGGGTCTCTCCAGTCTCCGGTCTCTCGCACACACACACACACAGGTGATCGCGAAATGGAAAGCGGCGTCTTATCTTCTTTTTTAGAGCTTCGCATTTTCAGCTGACACAGTTTTTGGCGAGCCACTGGAAAACAATTGAGAGTGCGGCAAATTCACACGTTGCACAAAAAAAAATTGAAGAGATTGTCGCAGATGAAAAGCCAAGCTTTGCATCGGGCATGTGAAAAGCAAACTTAAGAACCGCAGATCATGTTTTTGTTTTTTTTTTTCTGCCTCTGGAATCCTGCTGTTTGTCAATGTTGATTTAACTGAGATGATATTTGATCTGATCTATTTTATAGACAGACAACCACGACCCTAACGAATCGTATTCAGCCTGTTACATAAAATTACTTCATTTAAAATTATTTAAAAAAAAAAAAATAAAACAATTTATTAACCGGAAATATCGAAACACCAAATTTGTATAATAGCTTAATCAGCTCGATAGTCATCATCATCGCCATCATCATCATCATCATCGTCATTATGTTGATCATTGTGATTAGCATAATAATAATTGATTTGATTTCCACTTGCTAGCATGTAGATTTTTCATGTCTTAGAGTGGAATGCATTTTTGATTAATTACAAGACGCTGCCGCTGCCGCTGCCTGCAGCCGCCCGGAACCCTTGCCCCAATCAGAACCCTATACCATTTGTCTTCTTCTTCTTCTTCTTCTTCTTCTTCTTCTTCAACAGCCGCCGCTGCATACCTGTCGTGTCTCTTTGGCAGAAGGTTGGGCCCCTAATTTGGGTGCCTCTGCCAGGTTGAGAAGTTGAGAAGTTACGAGCTGCTCATCTCGGGTTCAAATGAGTTCAAAGTGCGCTCTGCGCCCGCCGTCTTTGCTTTTTAAAGGTATTTATTTACATTGGTTTTATGCTTTTTATTTGTATTCTGGGCTCTGCGTTTATGCCTGGCTTCTCGCGCAGCTTGTCTTTTCGATTTTGTTTGTTGTTGTTATCATTTCCTTAAGAAATGTAGGTAAATACATTTCCATCTTATTTCGTATACCCTCAACTGGGTTCTAACACTTTTTTAGGGTAAGAAATTGAATGAAGATCAACAAAATTTCCACTAATCGAACTTTCACTGTACTAATAATAGTTATTGAAATAATAATAATAATAAAAAAGTCCAAAAGGCTGCAAGCCAGATTTTAAGCCAACCAACTCGAGCTGGGAATTCCAGCTTAGATTTGTGCATCAAACGAAAAATCCAAAAATAACCTACCCGAAACCCCAGTCAAATGTGAAAACAAGTCCGAGGTTCTAGTCGGGAGCTCCCGACTAGGGGATACCCTGAACCCTCTTCTTCCAACATCAAATGCATATACATATTCTATTTTAGAAGCTATATGTCAAGTTTGGTGACTCTAGCTCTTATTATTTACCAAAATTGCCCAAAAAACAGGATATCGATATAGATTTTTATCGATTGCTTGGAAACGGAGCAAGTTATCGATTATCGGAAACAAACTCGATCTGCGCGGGAACTAGGAGCATCTACATCTAAAATTTCTCTTATAGGTTCTGAGATCCTTGCGTTCATACATACGGACGGACGGACGGACGGACAGACAGACGGACATGGCTAGATCGACTCGGCTATTGATGCTGATCAAGAATATATATACTTTATGGGGTCGGAGTAGCTTCCTTTTGCCTGTTACACACATTTGGATTTTGCACAAATACAATATACCCTTATACCCATTTTTAATGGGTTCAGGGTATAAAAAAATCCGGTTCACGAACCAACTACTTTTGAAGGTCTAAAAGGGTATTTATTCTTCGACTTAGCCTTTGCTTCGTCCAAATATTTCAACTCATTTGCTTGCCTGTTGTTTCTTCTTCTTACTTTCGGAGCGTTCTTTATTGGGTCGCCGCTTATCATTATTCAAATATTTTACCTAGGCAAACGAACATTCCGATCTGCTCTACCATCTTTCTAATGGGCGATAACACTTGCATGTGCACAGGCACACACACACACACACACACACACACACACACATGCTGGCCATAATACACTTTCGACTTCTTTTGGGTTCGGTTTTTTTTTTGTTTTGTAATTACAAACAACTGACGCTCAAGTGTAGCATTTCCGCTGTACAATATCAAACGGGGGGGATGAAAACCGTAGGGAGATGTGTGTGTGTGTTGCCGAGGGGGGAGGGAGGGAGGTAGGAAATAAGTTACTCACCTTGCCGGCTGCCTTTTTGTAGCGTCGCGTGGCCTCGCTGATCAAATCCCGGACGAGAAGCTCGCCGCTGCCGCAGGGCACCAAAATGCGAACATCGCCGAAGCAAACGGTAACCTTCATAGTTTCGATAACACGTTCGATAACACGTTCGATAACACTTTGATTAAATATATTAATAATGCACTTGTGTGGGGAATGTATTAATGCAGTTGCAGTCGCTTTTCTTGTTGTTGTTGTATTTGTCATTAATCTAGATACATTTTTTGCTCGTCTGCACGTTGTTGTTGCTGTTGTTGTTGCTGTTGTTGTTGTCTGTTACTGGCATTTGGCTTTGGCATCATCTTCTCCTTTCATCTGCTTCTCAGCAGCTGCACACGATTCTCTCGGTGAGTGTGTGTATGTGTGCGTTGCTATTCATCTAGCTGCACTGTGTGGCATATGTGAGAGCGAGATGGCCTGCACTACACACGCTTAAGGACTTTGGCGTCGCTGCTGCGGCTGCGGCTGCGACTGCGCACTTGACAGCAGCTGTACACACGACGGGGAAAAAAACGTTTTTTTTTTTTGTTCACCTACCACCAGACAGAAAGAACTATCGCGTGTGCGTGCGCGCGTGCGTGTGTGTGTGTGTGTGAGAGAGCGCCGCTTTGTATTGTTTTATTTTGTTATCGTATTTTATCTCTCGAGCTCTCGTTGCAGGATGGCCACTTTTCGCTCTTTTAGTTGTTGTACGCTTTTTGCTTTGCTTATTTATTTAGCATATTTCACTGCATTTTCTGTTAACTGTTGTTGTGGCTTATTGTTGTTGTATGAATCACACGCGCAAAACGAGTTACAATAACAACACAGCACACATCAAAAATAAGGCAAACAACAGGCCAAGATCATCGGAAACGTTGTAACCAAACGCAACAACAATAATAAAAAAAAAAAAAAAAAAAAAAAAGACAACAACAATAAATACCAGCTGCACCCCGCAAACTGCAACGGCAATTGCAATTTTTGTTGTTCCACAAAAATATGTATAAGAAAAAACAATTTGTCTGCTTGATTTGCGTTTTTGTTTTTCATCAGCTTTTAGCTTTTGTTTAAGAGTTAAATTGTCTCTTTTACCAACTGGTGGCACACATATTCCGTTCGATCATTTTTCGTCGCGCCGTTCGCAACGTCGTTTCGTGGTTATCTTCGCTTTTGTAAGTAAGCGTCGTTTTGCTTTTAATGAACTTCTCTATTGTTATGCTTGCACCTACAGTTATGTATGTTTTGCATTTGCACTTGATTAGCTCACGATTCTACACAATTATCATTTAGTGGTTCTTAACGTGTTATTTCAAAAACGAAAACAAAAAAAAAAAAAAAAACAAATTCTTTAGCGTTGAACATCGCGCTGCGCTGCGAACGCTGTCTCCGCGTTAAATGCCAACAACAACTAGCGACGGCTGGCAGCATCGGCTTATCGATGCACCAAACTATCGCAAATGTTATGCCGATATTTTGCAAAATTCGATAGTTTGACACATCGAATGCATAAATGTAACTGTTTAGAATATGACAGATTCTTCAATTTAATATTATTACCATCCGTTACCGAATGGCTTATTAAACGTGGGACGTCTACATACACATTTATTGTTCAATTTTACAATCCACAGCTGAGGTGAAAGTTCTGTTGTTTAAAATATCCTTGTATGACAGGCTTTTCGTATTTTAAAAGTAAACGTTACCAATAACAAAATGACAATTACTGCGCCCAATTGAGCTCTTCAATTGCTACAATCAAGGTATCAAAAATATTGCCGCGCAAACGTGTGACCAGTTTAACAATTCAATTTTGAGTGACCATATTTTCAGAATCCAGACTATGTAAGTTATCGAATATATAATATTCAGTGTGACCGAGGTCGGCAAATACAAAAATTCTGTTTGGCATCGCAAGTAAAAACGAAACTAGTTGCGAATTTAGTCATTGGCCAATATATTAACGATATTCGTTTACTAATTGTTTATATTTTTATATATTCTATTTTTTTTTGACATGGCGGAAGCACGCTCGGGCGCTGCCTACAACTACAAAACACTGCTGTAAGTACTTAACAGCGCAGGCTGCGTGCGGCTAACAACTTGTACATTTCAGATGCACCAACATACCGGAACTTTTCCTTGATAAATTTGTGGCGCGAACGCATTTCGGCCGCTTTGGCAACCTGGTGAACTTTGTGCTGCGGCCCAGACGGATGACCTGCACGGTCAGCTATGCCAGCGAGGCTGAGGCAGCCGCAGCACTGCGCGAGGGCAACGTCTACAACGGTCACGAGTTCGAGATGAGCTACGCCGAGAACGAGAGCGCGCCGGCACAAAAAACAGAGGAATGGGTCGATCCCGATGTGCAGGCCGAGCTGAGTGCTCTAAGCGCCGGCTGGCGCAACGAATATGCTGGCAGCAAGGTGGCGAGCGCACCAAAAGCAGCTAGTTCCTTTGGCGCGCCCAGGCCGATTGCAACGCCAACGAGCGGCAACGTTGAGCGTGAGCGGGAGAGGGAACGAGAACGGGAACGTCAGCGTGCACCCGCGCAGTACAAGGCGGCCAAGCTGGAGCTGGAGGCGCTTATGCGCAAGCCGGCCCACACCAGCGAAGAGAAGTATCGCGTGCTGGACGCGAGGGATAAACTGTTGCGGCTGAATCAGCGACGTGGCACTACGGACGCACAGCGTCTGCAGGGCCACTGCCCGGACATGTGTCCGGAAAAGGAGCGTGTGCTGCGCGAATTTCAACGCCAGGTGGCACTCTACGAACTGAAGCCGGGCTCCGATGAGCAGATCTGCCATGAGCTCGCATTGAAGCAGTATTCGCGCAGCAGCGCCGATCAGGAGACTCCGCTGCCGCACGAGCTGCGCGCAGAGCAGGCGCTGCACATGACCATGAGCTATCTAATGCACGAGATCATGGATATAAGCGAGCAAACGGAGAACCTGGGCGATTGGTTTCATTTCGTTTGGGATCGCACACGCTCCATACGCAAGGAGATCACACAGCAGGAGCTCTGCTCTCTGGGCGCCGTCAAGCTGGTGGAGCAATGCGCACGCTTTCACATACACTGCGCCGCCCGCCTGGTCGCCGAAGATCCCAGCGTCTTTGATACGAAAATCAATGCCGAGAATCTAACGAAATGCCTGCAAACCCTTAAATACATGTACCATGATCTGCGCCTGAAGGGTGTACAGTGTCCGCGCGAGGCTGAATTTCGCGGCTATATTGTCCTGCTCAATCTAGCGGATGCCAACTTTCTCTGGGACATTGCCCAGCTGCCCGTGGAGCTGCAGAACTGCACGGAAATACGGCGTGCCATTCAATTCTATTTGGCGCTGCAGGACACAAACTTTGTGCGCTTCTTTCAGCTGCTGCGCGAACCGGAAACAAGCTATCTGAGCGCCTGCATCCTGGTCACCTACTTTATGCGTCTGCGCATTCTCGCCCTGCATCGCATCGTGCAGGCCTATCGCGCGCCGCGCAAATACGAGTTCTCCTCGTTGCCCGTCCGATTCATAAGCCAGATGCTACTCTTCTCAAGCGATGCGGAGGCCATCGAATTCGTCGAGTGCTGCGGCCTGAATGTCAATCAATCGGGCCGAGTGGAACTGACGCGCATTCACACACCGGAGCACTACAAGCTGAGCAGACAGTTCAAAGTGAGTGCTCCACGAACGGATCAAAACATCAGTCGATCCAGATCCAGAGAGATTTCATTCCTTGCTAGATATGGACCGTAGATGCAATTCCCTTGTAAACATTTGACTTACAAATTTGTGTCCTTCTTTGCTCTCGCTCTAATTGGTATCAAATCGTTCTCTCTCCCTCTCTCTCTCTCTCTCTCTCTCTCTCTCTCTCTCTGTCTCTTTAATGCAGCTGGTGGAATCGAAGCGACATCAGAGCGTTGGCGAATGCATTTGCGGGGAGCCGCTGCCGCCCAAATCGCTGTATAAAAATCATCGGCCGCACGACAGCTTCAATGAGCAGGGCTATCTTAAGAGCAGCGCCTGGACGGCCAGGGATCAGCTGCCCAACAGCGTGCAGCTTGAGGAGGAATCAAGAGCACCAGCATCAGCAGCAGCAACAACAAGAACAGCAGCAGCAGCAGCAGTCAGCGCAGACACACAGAGCACAAGCGCGGGACAAATGGATAATCTGTTCAAGGTGCCGCTCTTCTCGGCGCCCGTTTCGCCGAAGATCAAATCAACGACGCCGCCACCGCTGCCGCCGCCACAATCCCACTCACATCCAACACAGCTGCTGTCAGTGCCAGCGCAGGCGAGCCACAACAAGGATTACAGATCGGATATGTTGCTTCAACAACATGCCGCTGCATTTACAAACAACATATTCGCGGCACAGCCCAGCCAGAGCTCCAGCATTGGCTTCAGCTTTGCAGCAGCAGCAGCAGCGCCGCAGCCGGCGCAGACAGCAGCAGCAGCAGCAGCTGTGGCGGAACAGCAGCGCCAGCAAAAGGCCGCCGATGATGCCAAACTGGCTGCACTGCAGCAGGCTATAGCGACGGCCAAGCAGCGCGAACTGGAGCTGCTCGAGATGCAGAAGGTCAAGCTGGAGCAGGCGGAGCGAGCGAGACGGCAGCGACAGCTGGAACAGAGACTGGCCAAGGAGGAGCAACAGCGTCGAGAGCAGCAGGCGGCAGCAGCCGCTGAAGCCGAGGCGCAACGTCTGCGCCTGGAACGCCAGGCGGTGGCACGCGAGGCGCAATGCAAGCAGCTGCTCAGCGAGCTAATTGACCAGCAGCTGGCGTGCATGTGCCAGGAGGAGTGGCGTCTATATTGTCAGGCGCTGGACTTGTACGAGACTCTGCTGGAGGAGCTGGTTGTGGAGCTGGCCAGGCAGAATCTGCTACGCGCCGACTATGAGATGGGTCTGATGCGTCACTATTGGCGACGCTGGCGCAATTATCGACGTGTACAGCAGCGCAAGGATGCGCTGTTCGCGTGCCTGCCGCTCAGCTTTGGCGGCGAGTCGAGCCAGCGATTGCTGGACATGCGGACGGCGGAGCTGCCGTTGCGCCTGATGCGTCGCTATCGTCAGGGCGAGCCCTGCGACTATCGCCAGCTGCTGGCGGGCATGGAGGATCAGTGCTGGCTCAAGCTGGACCTGTGGGAGCTGCTTGCCCGCGCGTTCCAACAGCAGCACCACCAGCAACATTTCACGCCCGGCGCCCGTCACTATTTCAAGCTGTTGCTATCGCTGCCCGACGGCAATTCGGGACTCGTCATCGAGCATGCATTAGATCGCGGACTGCTGCAGCAGCCGGTGCAAGGCGCTGCTCAACATCCAGGCACCGGCGCAGCCTACATCAATGGACTCGCCCACGGCGTGGCGCTGTGCGTGCACAAGCTAAAGGGCAGCTCGGAGTCGCACTCCAAGCAGCTGCTGGCCAATGCCGATGGCATCGTTTGCTTTGTGGATGCCAAACAGGTGCTGGAGGCGCGTCATCGTTTGCACAGTCTCGTGCGCAACAGCGGCTGCAGCTATGTGGCGCTCATTGTGCAACAGCAGGAGACGCCGCAGACGCTGCTGGCGCA